GTGGCTATGCAAATTTAAGCTAACTAAAATTAAATGCAACTAAAAATTTAGTTCCTCCACGGCATTAGCTACATTTTAGTGTTTAATGGCTGCATGTGGTTTGTGGCCACCGTGTTAGACAGCACAGACAGAGAACATGTTTGTCATTACAGAATATTCTGTTGGACTGTGTGGCTCTTAGCGTTGCAGAGTCCCTAGGACTCAGCGCTCTCTAGGTCCTGCAGTATCCTGTTCCCTTGCTGGATGGCCACTGCCGGCTCACTTGTCTCCACCCCAGAGTGCAAGCCCGGTGTGGGCAGGACCCGGGTGGGTGTGTTCTGCCTGCCAGGTCTCGGGCAGGGCTGGGTGCGCCGTACTGGCTTACTGAAGACAAAAGTCGATGAACCGATGGGTGAATAAGCTGATTTTGTGGACCCCAAGTGATCCCGTCGGGCCCTGGAGCTTTGGGTGACCCACTAGGGCATAGTCATCCTATTAAAAGTCCATTTTATAGAACTCATTGCCTTTTTTTTTTTTTTTTTAAAACAACCACAAATACACACAGTTCCTGAAACAGATGAAAATAGGACACCACAGACCATGGAAGAGTCTTTTAGCAATGGCCCCATGCCGTCTCGCAACTTTTTTCCTTGGCCTCAGGGACCAGTAATTTCTAGATAGAACCTTTTGGGAGCCCCTGTGGAGGTGGGAAGGATCTCCGTGTGTTGGGGTAGGTGGGGCTTCTTCTGAAGCTCTTTAACCTGTCTATTTGCAGACAGAATGTTCCCCCAGTCGTTAAGCTGGTCTCTGGCACGGCTGCCACAGCGTCTCTGTTGGCCCAGAGCTAGCCATTTCCAAACCAAATTTATGGCTTGTAGTTCAATGCCACGGTGACGCCCATAGCTCTCCTCTCCCGTGCGCCGAGGAGGAGAGAACAGGGCGATCTCCTTCGGTTTGAAAAGACACTTTGTCTTTTTCGATCCCTGCTTTTTAAAGTGGACAAGGGCCCTGTGAGGAGCTTCTCCCAGGAGGCCTCGGGTGCCCGGAAGGCAGGCATGTCTTGTCTGGATCTTTAGCGGCTGGTGGCTGGCACACAGTAGGCTCTTGGTAAATCGTTTTTGATTTTGTGAATTCCGTTTTGCAACTGGCTCAGAGCTCCTACTTGCGGCCTTGCTCTGGAATAATGAAGAAGTGCCTTTGGGTGTAGTTGGGAGCAGAGCTCTGAGCCAGGCTGGGGGTGTCAGATCTGACCCTCACACAGTACATGCTTGGAGGGGTCACTGGGCTTTGTTTGGTCTCCTCATCCGTAAAATGAGGATTGTAACTTGCCCTGCCTCATAGGTTTAATTCATTAACGTATCATAAGTGAGACCTAATTATCAGCTTTTATAATTATTGCTCTTGAGGCTACGCCAATCCCTTTGTGACCAAGGATGAGTTCCTTAGTTTTCCCGGGCTCTGGAAGATACAGATAGTTCTGGGGCTCCTGCGTGGCTTAGTTGGTTGAGCATCAGACTCTTGGTCTCAGCTCAGGTCTTGATCTCAGGGTCATGAGTTCAAACTCCACACTGGGCTCAGTGCTGCGCATGCTGCCTACTTAAAATAAAAAGAGAAAAAAAGAAGATACAGATATTTTCATCCTTGTCTGACCATGAGCAAAGAAAGGGCATGTTTTCCCTTGGCCCCTGCTGATTCCCATGGCAAAATCACTTAACAAAACAGGTCTTACGAGCAGGTGTCACTTCAGGTAAGTGGCTCGTGGGTGCACAGGTGGGAAGACAGTTGTGTGATAACAGCAGCGCCTTGGCCTTCTTTCAGACAGTCTTGGGGTTACAGGTTGGCCTGGAAACCGGGGTGGGAGGATACCAATGCCACCCTCTGGCTGGGGACTGGCTCTTCACCAGGCAGAATTACAAAGCCAGATCCGGCTGCATTTCTAGGCTGCAGACATTTTAGGAATGGGGCTGGGAGGGCCACACAGAGGGAGGAAGGGAGATGTTTGAGGCCAGCTTTGCTGGTTGCAGCCGCCTGTATCCTGTGCCCATTCAGGAGCCTGTGGCCGGGGCTTCCCAAACCTACCTTATCCAGCTGGACCTTTGTGTTCCAAGTTTTCCCTGGTGCTCAGTCAGTCGTAGATGGGAGGCCTGTAGTGGCAGAGGGCTCTGGGCGGGGTAGGAGAGAAAAGACCCACCTACCTCTCAGTCTCAGAGACAACTTAAATTTTGAGGTGGAGCCAGGATGGGAAGCTGTGGACCACCTCTGCCTGCCTAGTGATGCAGGGTAGACAGGGGTGGGGCACAGCCCAGTGATCTCCTGGGGTGGCGGGAGCCTGCAAGGTCAGGCCGGTCACACGGCCCCATCTGGTGTGGAGGCAGCACCACATGGAGAGGCTGCGACGAGATCACGTTCATCCTTCAAATGCTCGGGTTCCCAGCTTTGTTCTAGATGCCGGGGATGCGTTCACAGGCAAGAGAGACGTTCTCCTTGTCTTTGCAGGGTTCAGAGTTGGGGGCTCCACCATTAATCAGATCACACAGCTCATCCTCACAAACTGTGTTCGGTGCCGCGGAGGAAAAGTGAGGCGTGAAGGGTTATGATAGGGCACCTGTGAGAGTCAGGGAGAGCCTCCTAAAACAGAAGATATGAGCCGAAATCTGAAGGAGGGGTGGGAGGGAAGTGTGTCCAAGGGCCTGGAGGGAGGAGCAAATGTAGCGTGTCTGGGAAATGGAAAGCAGGCCAGTGTACCTGAGCAGCAGTGAGCAAGGTGGGGACGAGGCCATAAGAGCTGAGGCCAGGGAGGGGCCCCAGGGTCAGAGTCTGCCAGGCCTAGGAGACCTCGTGGAAGTCCCCAGGGGTGATGGGACACTGCTCTAGGGTTTAAAGCGGGGGCAACCCGAGGGGAAGTAAGGCGGGGGATCCCACACAGAGTTGAGGTGTGGGTGGTGCCACCCCTGATCGCTATCCTGTGAGCTTCAGCTCTTCTCTCTGTGTGGTGGCCTGGGAGGCAGCGGGCTTCCTCTGGATATGGCTCTCTGCTGTGTTGGTTTCAATCCCAGAACGCTGGACTCATAACGCTGGACGCATTTCCCTCTGGGCTTGGGCAGGACTCAGGTTGGGCCCGTGCATGTGGGAGCCCCAAGGGTCTGCAGGGAAGACAAGTTGCACTGTCGATCCTGAGGTGGCCGGCATGGTTTTAGCCCACAGCTGCTCCCTCCCTGTGCTGAGCAGCCAACACCCAGGTGGGAGGTCAGTCTAGCGGGAGGTACTGGTTTTATAGTTGGGAGGTGGTCTGAGCACTAGTGGATGGGCCTGGACTGACTAGGAATTTGGCCAGTATGGGGGGTGGGGGTGTTCCTAGTGCTCTCTTGAACGGAGTGATGCTGCCTCCAGTCTCCCTCTGCTGTTCTGGAAAAGGGTCAAGTTCTCATTTATTTGCTTTGCACAAAGGGCCTCAAGATACACCTGAAACAGGGGTCGTATTCACACCTCCCCTAAACCCTATGAGCTTGTCATGATTATTCAGTCAACTCTAGTATCACCAATGGCCAGATGTGCGCTCGTGACATTGCCTGCATTATGGTGAGATATGCATTCTGTCATCTTGTGCTGGTAGAGAGCCTTGAGTGGGCCTAGAACTCTGGTATTTAGGGATGGCTAAGAATGGATCCAGCTCTCAAGGCCCATGCAACCTAATCATGGGTTATTCAACAGAAGCTCATTATTGTATGATCCAATTATTATTTTCCTGCTGTATCGTATAGTTGCTAATAGGGGTTCACTGATAAAAGTGTTCATGGTCAAGTAAGTGGGAGATGCGTTGTCTTACATGCCCCTTGATCTGCTTATCTCTTGCTGTGTAACCAGCTACCATAAAACTCAGTGGCTTAGCACAATGATGTATTGCTATCCCTTACAGCTCCCTGGGTTGACTGGGCTCAGCTGGGCGATTCTCACTTGGGGTGTCTCACACAAATACTTACTTCCATCTGGTAGCTGCAATCAGAGGAGGGTGGGCGCGGGGTGGACTCATCAGATGGCTTCTTCACTCACTGGGTCTCTGTGCCTGGGTTGGTGGGGCATTTCTGTCTGCCCGTGGCTCTGGCACATGCTAACTTGGGCTTCCTCATAGTGTGACAGTTTCAGGGCTGTTAGGCTTCTTGCCGGGTGGCTGAGTTCCCCCAGAGTGAGCGTTGCGAGAGGCCTGGGAGGAAACTGGAAAGCTCAGAAGTCCCAAATATCATTTCCACAGCATGCTATTGGTCAAATTACTGAGGCTAGTCCAGATTCAAGGGAAGGGAAGTAGCTCAATGGAAAGAGTAGAACACAATTGGCTGCCAGCACGGTCCGTAAGAACGTACCAAACGTGTCTGAGAAGTCGTGCGGTAAAGGAACCTGTTTAACTCAGCGTTTCCCAATCTGATTATTATGATCTTTTAAAATCAGGAAATCCCTTTCTCATAGAAAATCACTCGTATTCTGCCAGAGAGCAGTGGGCAGAAATTGAAGGGTGATGGAGTTGGGTCTCCAAGCTATTTTCTAATACATGAAATGCTCCAAAGATGGAATGTAGAGATTGCTAGTGAGTTCTGGATTTGGGAAAGTACCCAAACAGAGGTCGTGTGGCCACGTGCGAAGATGGAGAGACTGAATATCCTGGTGGTGAAAGCTTTGATTTGACTTCTGACTGATCTAGGTTCAGGCCCATCACTTAGAGCTGTGTAACGTTGGACCAGTTACCTCTTTCTGGCTGGAATTTCTTTATCTACAAAACAAACAGTTCCTACTTCACAGGGCCATTGCGAGGATTAAGGAGATCCTGCCTGTGAACGACTTAGCACAGGATGCTTTCCTTCGTTAGGCTTCATGGCTGCTCCATTCCCCGTCCCCTTCTAGGATTTAATAACTTTCTGGGTTTATTCTGGACTTGCTCCCCCAGGCAAACCAGTATTGTGATACATGGACTCACCCCTACTTTCCTGGCATAAGTAACCTGGACACCCTTTCACTTCTCTCCAACCTAGTTCCTCATAAGCGACCGTGACCCTCAGTGCAACCTCCACTGCTCCAGGACTCAGCCCAAACCCATCTGTGCCTCCGACGGCAGGTCCTACGAGTCCATGTGTGAGTACCAACGAGCCAAGTGCAGAGACCCGAATCTGGGTGTGGTGCATCGTGGCAGATGCAAAGGTGAGTGTGTGCACACCGGCCTAGCAGACAGGAGGCTCCCAGGCAGGCGCCACCATGCCCTGCATGGGGTGCTGTCCGTGGGGGAGGCTCAGAATGAGTCCATCCCTTGTGTTTGCTGCTCTCCCTCCACCCCTCCCCTGGGGACTAGGAGAAGGAAAGCGGGCCTACCCGAAGGAATGAGCACTATTCTGTCTTTCAAATACTGCCACCAGGCTAGGGCTTAGCAGATGTACTGCTATCTGGCTAGAGCTATTTATTTTTATTTTTTATTTTTGTAAATGGAGATGCTTAAAATGGCAAGACATTATTGTTGGCTCCTGAATAGGGAAGGCTTCCAAATTGTTGGCCAACAGATGTATTTTGTTTGGGCTGCTCACATGTTTAAAAATATTAAAAGCATTTGAGACAACATTTAAAAGTGGAGAGATTCAACATGAAAATCTGGATTTTTAGACTTCTCATAAATAATTGGAAGGTCTGATCATATTAGGTCTGTGTTCCCTCCCACAGGGAGACACATGGTGAGACCTGAGTCTGAGTGGCAGCTCCCTCCTTTAAAAGGGGGGCCTGTTCTCCAGTTGCGGCATCTCCAAGCTGAGTGCCATTCTTTGCACACCCGATTCAGCTCCCTAATTTATATCACTTTCCTCCACCTTGTAGATATTTGCGTTTGTGAGTCCTGGGCTGCTTAGAGCTTTTGTAGGAATTGTGTGAGACCAAGCAGGCTGCCTTAGAGCTTCTGATCGTCCAAAGAAAGCACTTGCCATTCGTTTTCTTTCTTTCTTTCTTTCTTTCTTTCTTTCTTTCTTTCTTTCTTTCTTTCTTTCTTTCTTTCTTTCTTTCTTAAGATTTTATTTATTTGACAGAGAGAGATCACAAGTAAGCAGAGAGGCAGGCAGAGAAAGAGAGGAAAGGAAGCAGGCTCCCTGCTGAGCAGAGAGCCCGACATGGGACTCGATCCCAGGACCCTGGGATCATGACCTGAGCCGAAGGCAGAGGCTTAACCCACTGAGCCACCCAGGTGCCCCAACACTTGCCATTCTTGAACTCTAAAACATCTCTGAGACCCCTTGGGCTTGCAAGATTTTCAATAAACCTGGTGAAAAATAATAGAAGTGGGACTTTTTTTTTCCCCCAATGGGAGGGGCTGAGGGTATTTGGGAGAAAAAAATAAGCAGAATCTGGTATAAAGGCACCTCTCAAACTTTTCTAAGAATAACACTAAGGGGAAGGGGAGGCTGAGCAGCACGTACTAGCCACTGGCTTTGTGTTGTTAGAAGAGCCAGTTGGTGGTATGGGGCTCACCCCCCCGCAGAGAGGCTCTGTCTCAGCTTTCCTAGGCCTGGGCAGCCATTTTGTCTCATGGCTCCCGTGTGGATTCAAGGGAAGTACGAACCTCGCTCCTCCTCTCCTCTTATAGACGCTGGCCAGAGCAAGTGTCGCCTGGAGCGGGCTCAGGCCCTGGAGCAAGCCAAGAAGCCCCAGGAGGCGGTGTTTGTCCCGGAGTGCAGCGAGGATGGCTCCTTTACCCAGGTGAGGCCTTGGCCAAGTCTCTCAGGCCCATTTCCTGGACTGCGGCCAAGGGGAGGTGCTTGCGAGTGGGAGGGCCCCTCAGAGCCTTTGCTTTCTGGGAAACTGCAGAGGGCTCTTTGACACCCCTCTGTGCTACCTTCTGGTGCCTGCATTCCCCCTCTTGGGCCCTCCGTGCCATCCCTTGCCAGCTGGCAGTGGCTCCTGAAAAGGGGCATGGAAGTCTGAGCCAGGAAACTGGCATTGCTTGGTCCCCGTCCTCCCTGCTGGCTGTCTCCATTTTTCTCTTCTGTCAAATGCGGGCTGATTATTTTTCTTATCCCTGCCAGTTTCCAAGGGCAACCCTGGTAATCCCTTCACTGTTTATTTCTACCCCTTCTGCAATCCCGTTCTTCCCACCTTTAGTCCTTGAACGAAGCAGGGCTCCTTTTAAGTACACGTTGTACCATGATTCTTGGAGTGCGTGTGTGTGTGCACACGCACACACATCACACAGGCGTGTGCATGCACGCGCTCAGATTTAAAAATTGCCTTCGGCTGTCCCCCCTCTCATCCTGCACGGTCTTCTGGTTAGTGCTTTGTGTAGAATCGATGTTGGGTATGTTGGTGTTGGCACAACTCTTTCTAAAACACAGGCAGCACGGGACAATAGGGCGCTCCTTTATAAAGCTTTCCGACTGGATGGGGGATATAGTGTGCCGGGTGTGAGGCAGCTGGATGAAGGTGTGGTTCGGGTGAACATAGGGAAGGTCACACTGGACCAGCATGAATCAGTCATGTGGCTGGGTGTGGGCCTGGTGCCTCCTTCTCCCTGTGGGGAATAGAGCGGCATTTGGAGGAGTCCCACTGCCTCAGGGCTGGAAGAAGAGGCTTCCGAGGTTTAAAAGCTTTCCCGTAATTCTGCATCAAGGGGGCAGACGCTGCAGGCTGGCCTTTGGTTTCTTTCTGGGGCCGGGCCTGGGGATTGCTGATTTCGGATAGACCACTTGTTGGCGTGGAAATGCAGAGGGGTGGCGGGGAAGGGTTTGGGCATCGTACTTTTTAAAGTTCCCAGCTGATTTAAATGTTCAGCCAGGATGGAGAGCCTCTGGGTTAAACTGGTCTTGGCTGCTGACAATTCGAGGAGCACTTTTATTCCTTTTCTCTCTAACGCCTCACCACAAGCCTGCGAGGTACGTGTTGTTATCCCCACATACAGGGACAGGGAGAGGCAGGGCTGGGCTTCAGAGTCAGACCCCTCCCGCTCCCAGGCCCTCAGTCATCCCTGTTCTGCTGTGCCCTGCTCTGGCAGCTTTCCAGAAGGCTCTGAGGCGTGGACTGCAAGAAGGCAGTCAGTCTCCTGCTATGGTTTTCCCCGGGGATCCTGAAGGCACCCAGCCCCGACCTCAGGCGAGTCATAGAGCTCTGGGCCTCAGTGTCCTTATGTGAAAAATGGAGATTATGGTCACCACTATTATCATACATAATCATAGTCATTACGTTATGTATGTTATTATATGTTACTCTTGTTATGACTATTAATGAGTATCACGATAGCTTACCTCATGGGGCTGTGGTGAGGATTTACATATGCTCGTGCACGTCCAACCCTTGGAACGCATAGATGCTATTTAAATATCCTGCATTTTCCTCAGCGTCCTCCCCAGATCTACGCTGGCACTACTGCTCACGTCTTCCCAAGATGTTATGGACAATGTCGCTTAAGGAAAGGAAAACCTTCTGTTGAACCTCTCCCTCCGCAGTTTCTTATTTTTCATGTATTCTGGTGAAAAGAAGGCACGTGTTTGTGTCTGTCTCTGGAACCGCACTGCTGGGAATTCCCACGTAGGGGAGAAAATCAGACCTCTCTTGACTAGGGGCCGGGAACCGGGGTGGAGGTCGTGGGAGGAGGCCAAGTGGATGGTCGTCATTCTCCCCTTTCTCGAAGATTGTGTCACCCCCAGTGTGTTGCTCCTGAGAAGGTTGAGTCCTGCCCTCCTGGCTCTCAGGGCTTTGCTGCTTGGCGACAGACAGCCGCTGGCGGCTTTGGCTTTGGCAAGGCCGGTCCTGACTGGGTGGTGTTTGCCGGGAGAGGAATTGCTAAACACAGGGGCCCCTGAAGTTCAGCAAATGTTGGCTAGACAGTCAAGAACCCCTTCATTCGTCTGACACGCTAAGCACTGCCATGTGTCTGCAGGCCTGAGGCTGGCTCACCGCAGTGGGCAGCCGGTGGCCCTACAGCCCACTCGCCCCGTTACGGTGATTGAAACGGATGTGCTTTTTGCCTTGATCAAAGATGCTGCAGTAACTTCACGAAATGAGGCTGCCTCTTTGAGTGTGCTTCAGGAGCGGGGACAGGCTGCCTGATAGCTGTGAGACAGAGTGCTTTCTGCCTCCCCCAGTCCCCTCCGTCGCTTAGCCGGACTTTGTTGTTTTGTTTTGTGAGACCAGCATCTAGAGGGGTCTGTCACTTTGGTACTCCTTAAAATACTGATAGGCACGCATCCTGATGTTATTACCATATTTCAGCCCTGTGAATTATTACCAGTAATGGGCTCTTGAAGTTTATAGAGGGAGCAAGGGGACCCTAATAGGACTAGATTTGTTTGGCATGGGACACAGCTTGGGACCACATGAGTGGGCTGGTTTTAATGGGGTTCATGTGGGATGTGGTGGTCTCTGTTCTCTTCTTTGTTTGCCCTGTTCTCTTCTCAGGCCCCACCCCAGCCCCCACAGCAGGGGGCTGGGCCTTAGGTCATGTGCGACTTTGAAAAACCTTGATACCCAGTCTACACCCCGCATGCTGGGAGGGGAGTGGGCCCCAGACGTTGTGTTATTTTCATCTCCCTAGGTGATGACAGCGTTTGGTCAAATTTTTGAATGACCCGCTGTTGTCATCACTCTTGTTCTTGATTGCATCCTTGGAATGTGGAGTTCAGGCTCTCTGGGGACCCGCTGAGTCAGGTTGGGAGTTAAGTGCTTTGTCCTTTCCTGCGGCCTTATCTGTTTACTCTTCTGGGTGCCGGGAACATAATTCCTGACATCTGTTCTGCCAAGTCCTCTGCCAAGCGGTTGTCTGGTGCCCAAACCGATTAACTGAAAGCTCAGCTGCAGTAGAAGGGGATTGGATTAACACCACCAGGAAATGCTGGCTGGAGCTTGTCAGGCTGGTGCATCACTGAGTCATGATGAAGGCTCCTCTGCTGAGTGCCGGTGGGTGCGAGGCACTGAGTTTGATACCAGTTAATCTTCGCCGGAACCCTTTGCTGTGTTACTAGTGCCCTTCCTTATAAAGGAAAACTCAGTTTCAGAGAGGTTGAGAACTGGTTCAAGATCACTGACACTAGAAAGGGTTTGTACCCAGCCCTACCTAATTTCAAGGCCTGGGCTTTTAACGTTTTTATGTTATAAAAAATGGCCTTGATGTGTGTGTAGTTCATATTCATCACCGTTGTTATTCCAGAAGGCCCCACTGTGAAGCTGGTGGCCAATCCATAAAGGGGGGGGGGGAGAAAAAATCCTTTTGATTACAGAAATCTTCAAATATACAACAAGAAGTAATGGTATAAAATGGTATATACCCCTTGTACCCCTTACCCAGCCAGAGTTAACAATTACTAACATGTGGCTGATTCTGTATTGTTTCTGTCTTGTTTTCATCTCCCACCCTGAACTGGACTGTTTCAAAGCAAATCCCAGACACAGTGCTGTTTTCATCTCCAACATCTTGGAGTTCTGCTCTGGGCTGTGTGCTGGTTGCCGTGGAGGGTTCAAGAAATGTCGCAACATGTGTCTTTGAGTAGCTTTCCTTGAAAAGATATGAAAACCAATGATAAAGTAGCTAATATACAGGGTCGTATTTCAAATGGTTATATTTCACATCCCCATTTACAAATGAGTAATTTGGAATTCCAAGTGCATTTTGTTGTTGAAAAAATTTATACCAATGAAAAGAGTCTGACTCTTAATTTCAGCTCAGGTCATGATTTCAGGGTGGTGAGATCGAGCCCCACAGCAGGCTCTGTGCTCAGTGAGGAGTCGGCTTGTGATACTCCCCCTTCCCTCCGCCCCTCCTCCATGCTCCTCCTCCCTACTTTCTCTCTATCTCTCTCTCTCTCTAAAATAAGTACATCTTTTTTTAAAAAGTTTCTGAACATTAAACTTAACCAAAACTAAAAGACAAATGACATTTATTAGTCTTAATGACAAAGAGCTGATAAATGAAGAATTCTTACACACCAGAAAGAAGATCCTAGTAGAAAAGCAGGCAAGAGATACCAACCAGCAAATCACACAACTAGCGGATAAATGAATACAGAACATCTCATTTGCCTTAGTAATTAAAGAAATACAAACTAAAAAAAAAAAAAAGTCATTTTGCTTACCAAATTGTTAAAAATTGGAGAAAATTTGTTAAAAATTGAGAATTACTAAAGGGAAAAAGCTACCCCCCCCCCCCCATATTACAGTTTGGAAAGTAAATCAGCATTGACATTTTATGGAACAATTTCACAATGTGTGTCAAGAGTCCTTAGATGTGCCCACATCTTATGCCCACCCTTCCAATTCTAGGAATTTATTCTCAGGAAACATTAAGAATACGTGCAAAGTGGTGCCTGGGTGGCTCAGTGGGTTAAGCCTCTGCCTTCGGCTCAGGTCATGATCTCAGGGTCCTGGGACTAAGCCCTGCATGGGGTTCCCTGCTCAGTGGGGAGCCTGCCACCCTTCCTCCCTCTCTGCCTGCCTCTCTGCCTACTTGTGATCTCTGTCAAATAAATAAAATCTTAAAAAAAGATATGTGCAAATACTTAGCCACATGGACTTTCATCTAAGTTCTGCTGATAGTAGCAAAAGTTTGGAAGCAATCTAAACATCCAGTAATGGAAAATCACTTAAACCAATTAGATATCATTTATACTCAATTCATAGCTGCTGTACTCTGTAGCTAGTAAAACGATGTGTTACAGAGGCTCATTTTACGTAGTGGGTGTATGCAGGTATGTTAGGGACTCAATTCGTCAAAT